ATATTTTTACTGAATTTGTTTATAGGGTGGTGATTCCGCTCTGCGGTGGCAACATAGACACGGCCGTATTGGGACGTTGTATAGAACGTGGTTTGGCAGCTGATGGCAGATTATGTCGATTTACCGTAACCGTTAGTGACCGACCTGGTGGCATTGCTGAACTCACACGACTTATTGCTGATGTTGGCGTCAGGTAAACAAATCATTATGTCAATCACTGGGCTTATTACATCACCAAAGTACTCCATAGAGTAGACGGTCCTGTACAGTTTTGACTAAACAATACAGCCCAATTAGCATAAAAATTATTGGCATATATCATTCTCAATATTACTGACATGATTTAGGGTGATTTTTACAATAATAAGTCACATTTTTATTTTAAGAGTGTCTAAGCAGTGGTGTAAAAAACACATCTTCCTGTTAATTATTGATATCTATTATAGGTCACTTTGATGATGTGACTAATTTGCATATAATTTGTAAGGGTAGTTTTGAAAAATTTCTGTTGTGACACTCAAAATTGTGAAATAAAAAACTGTTATAACCTGATATTACTTAATCGTAGCACTGGTTGATACTTGGGTTCATGGATATGCCCATGGCGACACTCGTATAAACAGACTATGATCAGGTTGCAGCATTGGGCTTTATGGCTGGTAATGATTGTTTTGTCTTTTCTTTCACAGCCTGAAAGATATATTCCATGAAAGAGCCTGGTTAAAAACAGACATCTTCAGTGTACAGGTGAGCACTGTATATTTTATACACTCACCTCTTGAGAGACAATATACATGTATATAGCAACTAAATTAACTACTGTCCAGATCTGCTCTCTAGAATTAGACTAGATTCTAGACTAACCTTTAAATAATTTAATACAATAGATCAGCTTTACCAATTTTCTTATTTATAATTTCTCTGCTTATTTGTAGGTAAAATGTGTTGTTGAAACAAGAGATGAAGAACATGGGAAAGAACTCGAAAAGCTTTTACATAAACGTTATGACAAGGTGTCTTGGGGACCTCACTGTACATAAAAAGTATGCCTTTATAAGTGAAATAAACATAACTGCAGACCATCAAATTACAATTGTTATTTTTATAAACACTTCCAATAATGATTTTAACCTATGATATTCAAAATTGGCAATTGAAAAGTATTCTTTCTGAATGGTTTCAATTTAAAAAAATTATGTAAATGCAGAGGTGATTCTAAGGTCAAAGTAGACATATTTCAGGAATCCAACGTGCACTGTATATCAAGTTTTAATGAACAAAAAATAATTGTGAAGCACAACTGAATATGGAAGAAACAAGTCAGAAATAATTGTGAACTTTGATTGAAACATTTCAATGCAATATGAACACCATCAAAATGTATTCTCCAGTACTTATTATTGGGTTTTGGGCCTGAAACTGAAATACCATAGGCTATATATACCTGGTTATTCATCTATTCATTTTTGTATTACAATTGTTTAAAGTATAAATGTGTGTTGTAAATACCGGTACAAGACTGATCAGAGTGAGATGACTGGGGAAGGTGGGCAGGCGAGCGAGTGTGTGTGTGTGTGAATGTGTGTGTGTGCTGGAATTCCTGGTGACTAATGTTGTAATCTTCTTGTGATTTACCCAATACCACACCCAAGGCTGTTTTCACAGTACAGGATTTCAGTGTGTTTGTCACTGTGTTGGTGGGGGGTGCATGGTATATACAATCATTTGTCCAATAAGCCCCAGTATAAATGTCCGCCCTTATAAACTGATATTGTAGAAATTACCAAGAATTTACATATGTCATGAGAAACTTTTTAATAAATTTAATATTTAAAGTTGTAGCAAACATTTTTTTTTCTTTATTTTATTGGGGTTTGAAGTATTTTTGTATACTATAATTTGACTTGCCATAAGAACATACATGTGTACAACCTTTAATACCACATTAAATATACAATGTTTTGTTGTGACCATATTTAAGTCTATATTATACATCTTGGTGCTTCCTTTTGTAATTTTTATTATACTCCTCATAGATAAGTCACATGTATATAATAAGCTATAGTGTGTTTACTGCATGCAGGCACAGATGAACTTCTATTGGAGATTTTTACTTGTACAGTCACCATGTTTTGTATATATTCACAGAAAACTGAAATTTATACTAATTCCTCTACAGTTACTATATATTAAAAAAGTCTGTAAATCATTAAGTGGGTTGTTCAATAAAACATTTCACACCATACATTTAGTCTGGTATCATTTACTGGTTAACCTTAAAATACCAGCATCTAAAATTTTCAGCAATCAAGACTTTACAGAGCATATATTTAGGACTTATAAACTAGATAGACTATAATGAAATTGAAGCCATAATGGTTACAAACTCAATGAAATAACTTGGTTTATCCAAAACATTGGGTATAATTCTTGGGGGTGTATGTAGGAGATTTACTTTCAGTTTAGTAGAGATGTATGGACATTTGCAATTGTAGAGCAAGTCATGATTCAGTATAGCCTTCTTATAAACTAAA